CAAGAAGGCTGCCCAATGACGGTCTCTGAAATTGCAACTTCGGAAAGCGACTCGGTATTCCCTCTTCAACTCTTTGAAACATGTTCGGTGCTCTCAAGGTTCAAGCACACGTCTCTGGGATTGCGAAAAGTGGAAGTTCAAGAACTGTGCACACTCAGAGGATTGGGGCAATCACCTAGAAGAGGATGGCTCACAACGATGAAGCCAGCGTGAGTCACATCGCTTTTGATCTCAGGATCTGCCGTCACTCCTTCCAGAAAATCTTGGGAAGCAATCATTATTTGAAGAGGTTACCGACTCTTTCTATGCTGGTTTTTATTGGAGCAACCCGAATAGATTCAACTGATAAAATGCAAAAAGTTTCTGCACGAGCTCGAGGTGCGCCGCATCTCTCTTACGGATTGGGTTAATGAGAAAATTTTCGAACTAAACTTCTTTGCGACCACCAAAGTCAGAGGCAGTTGTTGCCAAAAAGTGAGAGCAAGTCTCCGAGATAACGTCTAGTTTACAACAGACTTTCTCCCGAAGGTGTGGTAGTTTGTGACGGGGTAACATCCAAAAGTGCAGCTCCATTGGAGTTCATCTTCCACAAATGTTAAAATTAACTCGAAGGTCTTGCAAAAGACTTTAATGAGGTACGGTATGTTGTTCTGGATTACGAGCATTTTGCTCAATGATCGTTTGCTCTTCAATGAAGCTGGGCTCCCTAATACGCGTTCAAATCGACCAAAGCCATCCTGGGCGCTCACTTCCCGGGCCACTGGAGCAAGGAATTGTGACCTTCTTCCTCTCAGGCCCTTAACCCGATGGACTCCTCTATGTGAGGATGTTGTAGAGCAAGACCTCATAAGACTTCTCCAGCTCGGTGGGTGCTCTGAAGTTAGCGCTTCAGAAGAGGTGGGACGACATCGCCGTTGGCTACCTGCGGCGCACTGCTGATTTTGTCGTTGGACGTCAGAAGGCCTCTCTCAAAGCAGAGTCGTCAAATTCAAAGCACCTTCTGCACAAGTGATCAAATAGCTTAACTCTATCTTTGTGTGAAGTCGGTTTCCTGATCGAGTCTCTTTCTTGGCTTTTACACACAAAAACATGGCGTCCTATACTTTTCGGCCACCCTGTATTTCACAAACGACAGAAGCCTAGCTTCAGGAGTTCTGACAGTCTGCACTCCTACATTATGCGAATTCATCTTTCAAATTGAGTTGCTGATTGACTACAAAAAGAGCTTCGCACTGGGAATTGCCATATGCCAATGCCAGGGTCAGGTACAAGCTTAACTAAGACTTGGCAGCCTTGAAGACAAATGTAGTCTAATATTTCTGCGACCGTTTCACCCTAAGTTGGACCAGAAATGGAAAACTGGAGACCCTCAACAATCCTTCAGTTATTTTTCGTTAATTTTAGTATTGTCCGAGCTCGCCTTTCTTAAACGTTAGCAAGTTTAGATAGTAGAAATTTTCATCTATAGCAAACAGGTTTTTTTTATAGTGAAGCGTTTCTTGAGCCGACGTTACGACTGGATCGTCGTCCTGGATTCGACTCTGGTTGAACCTTTTGCTTGAGTTGTGACTAGTTAGGAGCAAGTCAGCGGTAAGCAGGATGACTTTCATTTCAGAACTTTCGAGGTGCTTCCTTCAGGCCTTGAAGACTACGAACCAGCCCAAACGTCGGCTCAACTGAACGCTTCACTAGAAAAACCTGTTTGGCACAGAGAAAAATATGTTAATTTTAGTTTTTGCAAAAGCTGGCCAGTTGACGTTTTTGAAATGCGTCAAAGATGGAAGCTAACTAAAAAATTCGTTCGACAGGTCACAGAGTTTCCTGCAACTTCATGACACCATCTATTGCTTATTTTGCACTGACCTGACGCTTCCTCTGGTATTCCTGATCAAATGTAAGCGCTGCTACACCTTTGCCTACAGTTCCGGTGATTCGACCAACTGCACCTGCTGCTCCACCAACAGCATGTCCGAACATCGATTGGACACCCAGAGCTACACCAGAGGCGAATTCCTGGAAACAATTTCATACAATCGAAAAGGACCAAATGTACGCATACAGGCGCTGAAATGGATACCGCAATTCCGACCAGAGTACAAGCGAGGTTGGATATGTGAGACACAAACGGTCGCGTTGCGGTTATCAAGATGGCGATGGCTTACTTACCAGGCCAAATTCAGCGAATAGCTGCCGGTAGGCCCATTGTCGGCCCTCTACCCGGCTAAGAAAGAGAAGCAAAATCGTTGTGGCTAGTTTTTGGCCCATTATGGCTACCGTAAATTAATCGTTGAGGTAATTTTTTAACTACCACATGACCTCAAACACCGACGGGTGCAAATTCCACTAAACACGGTATTTTCCACGGCAGTCGAAAAGCGCTCGCCGGCGCCTATAAGGCGATAAGCTTTCTGACCGACATGACTGGTTGCACATTGAAAACGTTAGGGTAGGGTTCATGCAGAAAAGTGGAAGATTTCTACACAGAACGCACATGTTAAATGTTCTCTATCACTCTTCGTTACTTTTTTATAAGAGCTATGACCTTAGATTAGCAGAGGATGAGCCTAATTCGCAAGTTATCACCAGTAACACCCGCTGCAAATGTTCGCCCCTTATGAAACTGTTCCATTTGGTTTAGCAGCTAAGCGCGGTACCAAACTTATGAGTTATTGCTCTTCTAACAGTGGAGATATGAAGTGTAACGACACTGATTAAAATACGGGACGAAACTGTCGACAACAGTTATGGGCAGAGCATATGGTGAATTCTTGGGCCTGAGCGCCTCAGCCTTGTCAGGTTGTGGTACCAAGCGGGTACATGCTCTGCACTTCCGTTCCATTTCACAGTTCAAGAGCTCCATTTCGAAAAGAAGAAAAATCAATGGAGAAAAATTCATTCTATATCGGCTGACAGTACCTCGGGTCCTTGAACGAGTCCTTGGAAAGGCTGATAGAAGAGATCTTCAACTCCAGCCGAAAGATCTCGGACCAGACCAAATGGATTACCAATAATATCCAAACCAAGAACCAGAACATACATCTAAACTTCATTAAATAAGACCTTAAAAAAAGTAGAAAAATGAA